AAAGGCTCCGGGTGAAGTCCCTCAAGCAAACCTCCGAAGCACAACGACCACCTCGCATGCGATTGCACACCAATGCAATCGTATACCTGCGCGCAAAGCATCGGGTGCTGAAACGTGCGCCCACTGCTGGACCTGAACTCGAGTGAGCGCCCGTAGCGACGCACTGCATTGGTGGAGATGGAACTAGCGCGCTACCACATCGATATTGCGGCGCTCAGTGAAACCCGGCTCGCTGAGCAAGATAAGTTGCATGAAGCAGGTGCTGGCTACACATTCTGCTGGGTGGTCAAAGCGGCCTCAGCACCACGTAATTCTGGGGTCGGTTTTGCAATATCCAATGGCCTCCATGACCAGCTCGTTTGTGAAACAACAAGCATCAGCGCGCGACTGATGACTGTTCGCCTACGATTCGGGAGTGGTAAGTTTGCCACTTTTATAAGCACCTACAGTCCGAACATGTGTTATCCTGATGACGCGCATGATCAATGTTACATTCAGCTATCCTCCGTGATACGGTCTGTGCCGAGGAGCGACCGAGTATTTCTGCTGAGTGATTTCAATGCGCGCGTTGGGCGTGATTCACCGATGTGGACAGATGTCATCGGTCCACATGGCACTGGTTCAGTGAATAGGAACGGTGACAGGCTGCTCTCACTGTGTGCCACTCACGGCCTGACGATCACGAACACTCGGTTTGCACTGAGTGCGAATGATATAGCAACCTGGATGCACCCACGGAGTGGTCACGCTCCCCTGCTCGACTATGTCATCGTACGTCAGCGTGAAGTGCGCGTGCCACGTGAACTGCGTGGAGCTGAGTGTGGCACTGACCATAAATTGGTGCCGACCAAACTGTACATATATTTTCGTAAATCAATGTATTGCACTTCCTCCGTGAATCGGCGTAAATTTAACATTCCCTCCTTCGGTACTGTGGCGAAAGGTATTGAGCTGAGGAATGCGATGGCTGTACGCCTGTGTGATGTGGAAGGCATAACCACAGTGGGCGACTTGTGGCACCACATTCGCAACCAGGTGACAGCTGCTGCAGAGGAGACCATCGGGCGCGCGAATTGTAAGCAGCCTGATTGGTTTGATGAGAACAATGTGACTATTGACGCATTGGTGTGTGCGAAGAATGCAGCATTTGCTGTACATGTGGCAGACCCCAGTGACTTGGGGAAGAAGAGTCAGTTACGCAAACTTCGATGGCGACTGACCCGAAAGCTCCGTCGCATTAAAAATGTATGGTGAACGGAGAAGGCGAAGTAGATTGAATGCTACGCCGAACGCCGTCAACACAAGGAATTCTTTGACTCCTTGAAGGCGGTGTATGGATCGAGGTTGGAGCCGCTGAGGACGTGGATCGATGGTAGTTCAGGCGCTACCTGCACACTGACTGCAGACATAATGCAGATCTGGCGGGAACACTTTGGCTGTATCTTGAACAATTATTTAGAGATCGACTGGCCTACTATGAACAGCCTGAAACAGCACGATGTGAAGGCGGGTCTGGCGGACACGCCGAATTTGGATGAGACGCATAGAGCACTTGCTTAGTTGCGAAACGGCAAGTGTGCCGGTTCCGACAGGATCCCGTCTGAAATATTGAAACACGGTGGACCTACATTGGTGACTGCGCTGCAACAGTTGGTGCAACGCGTGTGGATTGAGGAGGAGGTGCCCCTGAGTTGTAGGATGCCCTTGTGCTACCACTGTACAAGGGCAAAGGGAGCAAGCAATGTTACACGAATTATCCTGGCATCAACTTGCTGAGTTGTGTGGGCAAAATGATTGCCCGAATCCTGCTCAACCGTCTCGACAGTCAGGTTGTGGAACCGAACGTGGCGGAAGAGCAATGTGGATTCCGTTCTGGTGGCAACACCATAGACATGAGGTTTGCGACTTGTCAGCTGCAGGAGAAGTGCAGAGAACGACACCAGCCACTGTACTCGTTTTTTGTTGATTTCACCAAGTCATTTGATACGGTGAACCGCGAGGCATTATGGCTGGTGTTGGGTAAGTTTGGTTGCCCGCGTAAATTTTTAAATTTATTTAAATGTCTGCACAGTAATATGCGGGCGAGTGTGTAGCTGAGTTGACAGATCTCGTGTGAATTTGCAGTTGTCTCTGGTGTGAAGCAAGGGTGTGTCTCTTAGCTCCTGCCCTGTTTAGTACATATCTTCATGCAATCATGTCTTGTGCTTTTGATGCGGTTTTTACTTAAGGTATTCATGTGGAGCACCGTATTGATGGTGGGTTGCTGAACATCCATCGTTCCGGTGCGGGAACTTTAGTGTGTGCGACAACTATCCGTGTGCTGCTGTTTGCTGACGACTGTGCGTTTGCACACAGCGCGCTTGAGTTGCAGCACATGACTAGTGCTCTGGCTTCGACACCGGCCAAATTCGGGCTCACCATCAACACAAGCAAAACTGTCTGTCTCTTTTGGCCTTCACCGGTGCAGTCTTCAATATTGCCACAAATCAGCATTGGTGCTTCAGCTACCTTGGGAGTGTGATGTCCACTGATCAGCATTTACACAGTGAGCTTCGTATCCGCGTGTCGAAGGCAGCGACGGCATTCGGGAGCTTGAGTACCGAGTGTGAAACAACCATCAGCTTACCGTTGGCACGAAGCTGATGATTTACAAATCCATGGTGAGGTCCGCTCTTCTATACGGCAGTGAAACGTGGACGATGTACCGGTGGGATGTGCGATATGTCGAGCGGCTCCATCAGCAGTGTTTTTGACGGATTTCGCGCATCGGTTGGGGCGACAGAGTTGCAGACACGGAAGGGTTGCGCGTAAGTGGAATGTATGCAGTGGACTGCATATTTTTGCTGAGACACCTGAGGTGGCTCGGTCATGTGTGGCGTATGGATTCACGCGGATACCGAAACAACTCTTATATGGTTAGCTGAGTATTGGGAAGCGGCATGTGGGGAAACCAAAGTTACGCTACTAGGACATGATCAAAATGAGCCTCTCACGTTCTAATCTTGATTGCGAGTCATGCAAATCGAAGACGGTTGATCGGCGTGCATGGCGCGATCTGATCACGAAAACCATTGCCAAGTTGCAAGAGGAATCCTTCGTGCATGCAGAGAAGCGGCAAGCACCGATAGGTTGTACTCCATTGACATCGAGCGCATGGTACTGTAGCACGTGCGATCGGGAGTGCCTGAGTCAGGCAGGCCTAGTGGGCTATGAGCGAGGCCACTCGGTGCCAACACCGAAGCGATGACGAGTCCTGCAGAGAGCGTAGGCAAAGCCGTCGCGGCGTTTGTATGTACGCTACATTCGATTTACTAACCGCGTGCTTGCATGCTGAGTCTCTTTATTTCAGGTGGTGGGCTTGCAATTTTGTCCCAATGCTTTTCTTTCTCATATAAATGTCTACCAGTACTCTGTTCTATGAACTTACGCACGTCGCTTAAGCCAAGCGTAATTAATTTTGATAACATTTTCGTGTTTGTGGCATTTCCTTAACTTATATTTTCTGACGCCTTGAACTTTCCGCGGTTTTGTTCGTAACCCGTTTATTTCATATGCTAATTTAGCGAAGAGTTATGTCGACGTATACTTATGCTTTTTTCCATATATTTTATTTGATATTGTCACTTCAAGTGATTGGCTGTCACTTGTCATCCTCAGTGTGGATGCGCGTAATGTGGATGTTGACAAGGTGCCTACCTGTCTGTGACCCACTACTGGAGGGCCGAGTGCACGGTCCTTGTGGCCGTGCTAGGGTAAAAGAGTAGTTCCATCCAGTGTGGAGCGGACTATGGTTCAGTCACCGCCTTGTGTATGTCTGGTATGAGTGGTTTTTCATTTAGGCAGGAATGCTTCTGCTCTGCTTGTTGAAGCAGTGTGTGTTCCCTGCATTGAGGAAATGCGGCTCCCATGCACATGCTTCCCGGTCTTATTCCTTCGGGTTTACAACGGATATGGGGTGGTTGGAGTTGTTAGTGGTGCAACGCAAGCCATACATTGGCCCTCTGTATGCGCAGGCGTCCTGTGGCTGCCATATGGGTACCACAGTGATAGGCAAATTCTGAACCGGATGCCGGCAACCATATATGTAAGCGGCAACACGTTTGGCTGGTTTGAACAAAGCGTTTTCACCAGAGCCAAATCAACCAATAGTCTTGGGACTGGATAGTGATTTTACTTACATGCGTTTAGCGTCTCAAAACTGTTCTCCTCGGGCGCAGTTCCATACTAACAACAATTCGCTTTGGAAATAACATCTGTATAAACTAATAGCTTCTTAATAAATGATGTTTTATATGACGTCTCTATATAGCTGACCAACGGAAAGTTGCGGCACTAAGTTGTGTGGTGAATAAAAACACAGTTATCTGCACAGATGCATGAGTCTCAGGTGTGATCACTCACATCAATGTTCCAGCGATATGGCGTCGTTAAGAGTACGGTAGGATGTCAATTGTAGCAACCTTAAGCTGCCTTTCGCTTATATTCTAACTCTATAAGATCACGAACAACACGATATGCAGTGTCAACTCTAAACTGCATCACAACATCTCGTGTTCCATACGCTTTACCAAACAATTTCGAGTACAATCAGCCGGCCCGATGACCTGATATAGTGGGGCGGATCCCGTCTGTGGGTGATAGTTTGGTGACCTCTGGCCTATGCGATATGTGTTGAAGTTTTCATCCTGGGCAGTGACCATTATTACCTAGGGCCTTACGAACGTTGACGTATCTTATGCCTTTCTTACCTCTGAGTACCGGGTAATATGATGATGAGTCTCCTGTGTTTTATGAGAGCAGAATCTTAGTCTGAATGGCTTGTAATCGCTTATTTCTTTAACGAACCTTCGGAATCCACATGTTGATACGAAGTGCGAGTGAACTAGAAAACGTATATTGTGATCTACTAGTAGGTAGTCAACACGATTATAACTTTTTCTAGCTTGCATAGTTCTTATCTACGTATCGCTTCTCTTTGCTCTTGTAACTGACCAAACTAGGTATCAGGCAGCGGCTCCGAAAACACGCTCACCTATCTTTTGGAATCTGAGTCTCGTATGCGAGCACATTTGCTTTCAAGGCTTCGGTAGTCTGAGCTTGGCATCACTGTTGAGCCTATTTTCCTGGTTACCCCTGCAAATATTGTCACTCGCGAGGATTGGCATCGCCGGGTGGTCCGCAGACGATGAAGCTGGCGCAGATTCTGTGCAAAAAGGATCTCGCGCAACGTGGACTCTGGAACGCCACCTTCGCCAAATGGATTGCACTATTTTTACTCTCATAGGCAGGTTCTGCTCCTTATTTACTGAGCATTTTCATTCGCTAGTGCCATTTTTCAATCAGATAATTTACCGTTTTGTGATTCCATTGGACTTACAGTAGAAGCCTACCTTCGTGCTTTTAATCAGCCACTTTTAGCATTCTGTCATCAGCAAACTCAGCATATCCCTGTTCACCCGAGACACTGCTTCATTTCGTCAACACTTTCCGAAATCCTGTGAGTGAAAGCCCGCTGACTACAGGAAGTCAAATCAACAATGCACTTTATGCACCCATGAAGAGTGAATTTTCAGCCACAACACACACGCTAAGGGTACAAATAAAACCAAATAAAAATATGACCAATGTATATGGTGCGCCACCAATTCGAAAAGGTGTCACCGATTCAGTCGGGCAATAAGATCTTATTGGACTACATCTTCATCCCTCAGAAAACATGACAAATAGGGAACAACTGACTTACCGTAGGCCCGTGTGCGGGCACAAGTGGCTTTCTACGTTTGTCTGGTCGAAGAAGTCGAGATACATTCGGACAATGCAAAATGGAGTGGGTGACTGGCATCAGTGAATATTTTGGACGCCAGTTTTTCGCAGGGGTGGACATGGTTAGACTCAATGATGTCAATGAACACTGGTATGGAAATTCCGTCACATCGAGCAAGATGCTTCAGCGACCTGTTGACCACCTTGAATTGCCGGTTTTAGAGTCCAGGAAATTTCACAGGTGAGTAATAAATCCAGTGCGGTATTAGGCAAACAGTGACAAACCGTAAAATCAGGTAACGAAGCACGGATGAGGACCTAGGTCGGGAGACGTAGAACGTTAGTCTCCTGACTTTAATAAATGTTTCATTCAAGTGATGTGGCCACGTGTGATCCCGACTTAGTGCAACTCCGAGATATTTCACTAATGTACAGGTGTTTGGACTGGCACTGTCCATACTAAGATGCGGAGTGTGCTTCAGGAGCTGTTGATAACAGTTTTCCTTGGACGGTTTATCGATCAATATCCGTCGCAACGAGACTAGATCTTAACGTGGTGCGGTGGTATGCGTACCTCTTTGACCCATTAAGCTATACTGGGTGGTGCCTCCGGTACCCTTGAAGAGCTACTGCTACCAGTTTGGTTAATGGTTAGAGGTCAGTCAAACTCAGTCCCCTGGTCCTCCAGGTTGGGGGTTGAAATGGGATGGCGTCCATTTCTGTAAATCTAAATCATTGCCACTTCCCTGCTGCCTTGCGAACAACTTGAGGACCTTACTCGTTTTCCTTTCTATGTCTGGGCGTCCTGACAGTATCTCAGCCTATGTACATCTGTGACTATTTCTTCATACTGCAACCACATCCTGCATCGGCCGACGCGCAGATTATCAAGGGACGCCTTATCTGCTAAATACAGCAGGGCGGTTAAGCGAAAACGTGCTACTGCTGGCGTCTCCCTTCTTTTCTCTCCACCTGTTTCTCTTACTGCCCTCCCAACCCCCATTACTAACCTTTTTTCCATACTTTCTGCAATGCCACTGAAGTCACACCATCTGCAGCTACTTTTTCACACCACCCAATGAAGGCCTATCGGCAACAGTCCCTTATAAGGCCGCGCTGCCTCGTTTCCCTGGCAGCGTTTAAAATATATACAAATGTATATTCTCGATGTTATACGAGACACACCAAAGAAGGCATGATCAGTTTTGTACAAGCAGACATACGACAACTTCAGTTTGATAAAATATTAGTCGTTGCAAAGTAAGTGAGTAGATTCATGAGATCCAAGGCGCGATATGGTTATTATAACTGTTTCCATTTTGAAATAGCATATTGTTTTTCGAAGATGCCGATAGGCACGAATGGTGTGATAGATATTTATCGCAAGTATACGTTTAATCAGTGACTCAAATTGAGTTTGGGTAAGTTGGGATGGTTTGACCTCGAATCGATAGTTTGCATCGCTATCCGCAGTCACATATCGTCAATTTTTCGCTCGTTTGTCATATTCTATGGCGTCAGGTCTTGCACCGCGTTGAATTCATATCCGTATCTAGTTGTGGGAACCGCTACCCTCATTGGAGTGGGGATCGGAACCGCTGATTAATTGCCATCCGCCGTTATTGCAAGGTTTCTCAGGTGCCGGCCAACGTTCGCACTCGCTCGCAACTTAGACGCACTGGGTATTGACGTGCGTTGCTTATCCGAAACTAGAATCGATGACTTACACGTGGTTGGTGAATTAACTACTCATGCTTAGTCCTATTTCTATTGGTTGCATGCATCCGGAAACGCTGATACGGCAATCACTGATCAAGCTGGAGTGGGCATCGTTCTCAGCTCCAAGGCTGTCGTCGTTGGTTGTTTGGATTCTCGTGAGCAACCGTTTGTGTGCAGTTCGCTCGACGACTAACTAAGATTGAACAGACGCGGACCCATAACTGCTCGTTGTAGAACCCCATAGTCGACATGAATCGGATCGGACAATGCACTCCTGTAGTTACTACTGCGGCAAGCAATTTTCGATCCACCAAAATACAGGGTTTCTGATTCCGTAGCTTTGGAGCCCGTGAAAATGAATACGATTATCCAGACGGTCGAATGCTTTGCAAAACTTTTTGGCTTTAAATGGAGTCATTCTTCGTCACTTTGTCACCGATTTTTGTCCGATTGCAACATCCAATCAGCAGATCAATAGTGCTAGTAGAACTCACGCTGCTCAGTATAGTGTTTTAACTGGTTGACTAAAACGTTAGCGTTAATTTGAGAGAACAGAGAAGTGGACTCTGGAAGATGATTTGCGGGTTCGAACGTCTGCCACTTTTTAAATTTTGCATGCTTAAGCCATGTTTCCATATAGTAGGCAATATTTGTTTATGTGAACACGTTTGGAAAGAGTATGATAGAAATTGGGCCCGCTTTGTTATCACTACATTCAGCATCCTCGGGTGAATGTCAACAATATTAGGTGATCTGGATGAGTGCAGGTAACACAGCCGGACGTCACATTTGAAAGTTTGGGTGTACTTCATCCTTAGAGCATTGGCTGTCTTTTTAGCATTCTTTGTCACTCCGACTATTGTATTAATTGTGGAATGTTATTAATGTCTTTCTGTTGTTGGAACATTTATAAGCCAGATGTTGTTGGTGGACCGCTTTGTCCTCACGGACAAGCGTATTACACTGATTGCCCTGGACCATGTAATCGCTCAAGATTTCGGGACCGGGATGACATGCCGCGCGGTGTTCCTTACTGATATGTATTTTGCATTTTCCTTCTGATAAACAACTGTTGTTGAGTTTTTTGCATTCTGAGTTAGATACTATTAATGCTGCATCGACAATAGGGGCATGAAGTCGCACGCCTTAAATGTTCAGCATCGATTTCCGTAGTTTCCCACTGGTTCTAGAAGACAGTGATAAATCACTGACTGCTTTCGGTTTTTCCGAAGTTCAGTACATCTGAGCGAAGTTAAGAGGGTATACTGCCAAGGTGGTAAAGTGCATTATAATCCTGTTTCTGCTCTCATCTATAATGGATGCAACAGCACATTCCGCTTCTGGTGATGTCTTTAGGCGCTGTGCAATATGATGCTCCGGAAGGTTCCACCAAGTAGAAGTGCACGATTCTTCTTTGGGAAGCCTTTTAACTGTGTATGTGTCTGTCCATATCTTTGCAGATGTCTTTGGCTACCGCACTTGTTTGACTGTCCACCGAATTTCCTTTTCTTTGCTGCCCCTTGTTTCAGTCACTAAACGTCAATCCTTCGCCAAATGCTGGTCTTCGCTTCATAACGGTTTGTGCGATCGGGTTTTTTCACACAGTATGGTGGAGTTGATGCGTGGTCCGGAAACTCTAATCACGATGGCCAAAATTGGCTGCGCTTTGATAGCCTCAGGCATCGGGCTAGCACGATTTCCAACCGTAATTCCATTCTGCTCTTTCAAAATCCTAGTTCAATGTGCCAATGAATTCGAAACTATGGATTTTACTTTCCTTATTACACTCTTTACCTGTTTTACGTTATCTGCACATCTACCACAGTTCTTATACACTTCATTAATCCGGGGAGTGATTGCTTGGGCGTCCACATAGGCTGTAGTTTTATTCTATCTTGCGTGCACTGGTACACTCGATCGCTTAGTAGAACATTACGATACACTGCAGACCTCTGATCATCATTTCCAAAACGACTGATTATTCACTGTATTTTTTGATGTTTACTGACCTACGTCGTGCGTATCAGTCGTTTCACTAGTGTTTATGTGCTTACGTTCTGCTGCCAGCTGATGGTATCACCTCGAATGCTGATATAACGGTTGCAGCCGCCTTAAAAATTCCAGTATAGCTGAACACCTGAACGGCGATTGTGAGCCTATATTTTACCCTAGGCGCGCCTTTGGTAGTCGTGCTGATTTCCTACGTTGAAGTGCAGTGACGTATCTATCGCAGTTTTCTACAAACCAACCAACATTCTGCACACTTGCGGACGCGAATGCAGAAAGTATCCCGTTAGGTATAACTTTCCTTCAGTGGATTCAAATACGGCTTGAAGCAACTTCATGCTTTTGTTCGCGCGCTTTACTAATCCGTACGACACTTGTTGAATCTGCTCATAGGTACTCCTTGCACTTGCTTCATGAGTCGTCATCCACTGCACTCCGCCTAGCTCTAACTACTGCTTAGTGAGTCCGTTTGAAGCTCTGAAATATTGCTGTATTCGGGAAAAATCCTTTGAGACATGGAAGTAACTCCTTCATACAAGTGGTTAGAAACAGCACTGTTTAGTAGGAATCGTTGACTCTTCTTGCCTCAGTCAAAGAAATTAAAGCGGTTTTCCTGCTAAATCCTCGTTAAATAGCCTATCAGGTGAATCACCGGAAAAGTTGTAGGCTTCACGATAATCGTAATGCCTATCCGGAAGATACCGAATTCCGAAGAATTATTTAGGTTTTGTCTTATTATCTCTCCTTGTCCAAGGATGGCATAATTGCACTGAACCGACCGTTTTGCTGCTATGATTTTAGAAACCACCGGCGGTTTACGCTTTTCCGGCTGCGTTGGTAGCCTCCATCTTCTTGAGCTTCCTTGTGGCCACAGCGACCCTGTCCACTCTGCAAGTGAGTTGTCCTGTACGCTGCACTTGATCAATTTCCTTTACCCCTCATTGTTGGCAAGGCCGAATTTTTTTCCCTATTCTGAAAGCTGTCCACGTGTCATATACCCCGGAATTTTGGAATAAAAATTCAGGACAGTAGATCTCGTCCAGTTGCTAGCCTACGAAATCTACGGTTGAGAACAGCCCGATAAAATGATGAATGTTGGGTGTTGTCCGCCTGAACACAATGCACTCTAATACCGCTTTCGGGCTTATTTGATCTCCTGCCAGATAGTGATAGCAGGCATCGAATCATTGTCCATGCACATATATTTTCGGCAAAGTCATGTATGACTCTAGGCTTAGGCATTACATAAATTCGTCGAGGTTGGACAAATGTCCTGACGTAATATTGACACAGGAGTCATTTAAAACGCAAAAAATGGTCGGAATCGCTCGCGAATGTGTGAGTGTACGGTGTTTTGTGATATTGCACCCCGCATGTAGGTGCCTAAGCTTGAACGGGTCCTCTCATATTAGCCACACAAGTCGGATATGTCAAGTTTGATTAGCCCCAGGGCCGAAACGTGCTTGACAGAGGCTGGGAATATATGACTCCGGTTGTTGATGTTTAGCGGATGATGCATGATATTTAATGCCTTAGGAAATTCTGAGCGCACAAAGCGGGCTATGGCTTCCACATGAGCACCTACACCGTATTTGCCAATTTTTACTTGGTGTCAAATATTGTCACGTCCATTACGTGTGCTGTGGAGTTGTTCTTAATGGCGATTAAATCCGGCTTGATGTACGTTGATACCGCTGGGATGCGGGGCTACCGGTTGATTTGGGCTCGTTTACGAAGAAAGGTGTTGGTTACTTACTTCAGGGTATCGTTGTGCCTCTTACAGCGAGCATCATGAGTTATTGCACAGGACTGCAAGACGTGCGAAAGTGTTTCCTTTTGTCCGCAAGCGCCCCCGACAGTGAAGCCCGGTTGGGTTTGGGGGTGGTCGTCATCTGGAACATCGAGATTTTGTTGACAGCACCTCTGCTCGAAGTTGGGTTGCTCTGATGTAGAGTCCGGGAAAAATTCGCCCGGAGTTTCTTATCCAGTTATGTGACGCTGGCGTCGTAATTACTCCCCGAAGCAAGGATTCGTCTACCGATTGTAACAGTGAATTCTTCCACAATTCCTTCGTGTCACTTTTGTCAAAGACGACTTGATTCCTAATTATTACGGGTTTCATGGCGAGGCGCTGGATGGTAGCCGCCGAAGGTTCCCGTATCGTCCAGCTGGTATTTGGGTGGGAGAATGAAAGATGGCGTTCCAGGCCGTCCTTCCGAAGCAATGGGATTATACTAGAAAGTCACGGAACCCCAAGGCCATAATTCTCAATTGATGCGTGAAAGAAAGCGACGCTGGTGTCCTTGAGGAGTCGTAGCCATTTTCGTATACTTGCCCGGATCAGCCTATTCATCGATTTGAAGATCTGCTGGTGCACCAACGCCCATGAGAGGCAATGTGTATGACACGGTAAAAGACAGGTGCGCAAGATATGCATGCGCTGGTAGGGTTTGAGGAGGATTGAGATGTTTCCTGCAGCTGTACTTTGAGTTGGTCTAGCGAATTTGACGGGCGTTTACCCTTCCAATCAAATGGTAACCCATGTAGTCGGAATTCCCCGAATAAATGTATCGAGGGAATCTGGAGGGCGCCACGGGAGAGCTGCACAGTGTTCAAAATAGGCACATTTCTTCTTCTGCTGTCGGCGGTGGTATCCAGTACCATCGATTTCATGTGATTTATTGATAATCCAAAGTGCTGTATATCCTGCCTAACTCGCCTTAGGCGTTCGATCAGGGATTCTCGGTCACGAGCAAATAGTACAACATCTGCGTAAGTGACATGATCGATCGGACCTGCTGGGGAAATCCACTGTATGTCAGTATGTGTAATGCTTCATCGAGTGCCATGATGAACAGCATAGGAGAAAGTGGATCTCCCTGACGGACTGCATTCCCTAGGTAAATCATCAGACCGTTGATGATTGAAATTCCGAGGGAGTAATAAGACTTTAGATAATGTAAAAGAAAGTAGGGGCGCCGAAAAATGTGGCTGCGCGAAGCAGCAAAGCGTGGAAGATGGAATCAATAACTTTTTGAATGTCAAGAAAAGCAATGGATGAAGGCATACCGTTCAAGTGTGAATATCTTAGTACGGAGTGTAGTATCGTGGGGCTTCAAAGCAGCCATGTTTACGAAGAAAACCAAATTGAGGACGGTCAGCTGAGAATGCAGGAATCCATCGAACGAATAAAATTCGATGAAGAAGACGAGTGAAGACTGAAGTTACGAAAATTGAGCGAATGTCTTCAGGGCTGAAAGGGTTGGGCGTTTTTGGAACAAACGTCACACAGGCCATGTTCATGCCAGTAGGATAAGGGGAATAAGTCAATAAGCAATCTACAACAGACGTAATGAACCTCGGATCCATTCGACTGATATCCTTTGGTGTGATATGGTCTACTCCGGGTGCAGGTACATTCATTGCTCTTAGTGTAGAACTCGTTTCCTCAATGATTTAGGGTTTTACGAGATCCCCGTTGATATTTGCACAACCGCGTGGTTCTCGGTTATCAGATATTCAGGATTGCAAGAACACATCCTTCCAGAGCTCGTTGAAGCCCGCGATCACCTCTTCATCCGGCATAAATGCCGTCTTCCAACGACCATCGAGTATTGTAGCGGCATCGTCTTTTCTTCGCAAATGAAAAGGCGTTGTATATGGCCGTATTGAAGTCGCTGACGACTGTTTGAGACTGTAAATGCCCGTTGTCTGCGCTTCCTAGGTCGCCATGTGTGAGGGAATAGGGTTGAGCACACTCTTTCCATGGCGTTAAGAATGCGCGTCGCAATCCATTCACACAAGTGCTTCAAAATAACCCACCAGTCAGCTCATTGAAATGCTTTTCTCCAAGTCTAACTACCCAAAGTCTACTCAACAATGATGCGTGTCAGGAATGCCCCGATCAAATGCCAGCGAGTGCAGAAGTATGTTTCATTTTCCGACCGTCGTTGTCCACATCCGCCACCTTAAACATAGTAGTACTTTGCACCAGGTTTCACTGCAAGTACTAATTGCCTCGTTGAATGTGCGTAAACAACCTCTACCATTGCATCGCATTAGTTCCGATCGAAAATTTGCAGCCAGTGATGGATTATCTCTGTTTCACAAATCGCCTCATGAGCTAGCTTTCGAGAAAGTGCTCCTCGTAGTTATTCCGAAAGTATGCATGCGGATCTTATGAAGAGCAATCCCACCATCTGACCTCGGAAGCATCATATAGGGAGCAGAATGTGCGATTCTTAGAGTAAATTAAAGCAACCAGCCAGCACTGTAAGAAAATGTTTTATGAGGGCTCAGAAGAGATGGTTTAGAAAGAGGTTTTTCTACTCCAGCATTTTCCAAACCATTGTTTCCATTGAGTTCGTCGCAGTAGCTTACAAGCCGGATGTCTTACCACCTATTCCGAAAGGCACAAGACGGCTGTTTCGTCCTTTTGGGACTCGTCAGGCAGCCTCCGGCTCCATCAGGAACTTCACCTGATCTCTCCTGACAACCGGTATCTATGTAAAGCTGAAAAGTTATGAATGGTTTCAGTAACCTAAAATGTATCACGCTTTCGGGACAAAATTAATTACCGGGTGCAAGAGATCGGACGATAGTCTGTGTGACTGTATTCATACCAATCTCGGAAACACAAAAAACCCAATGCACTTGCTTCCAGAGCCAACCATAGCATGTAAAATACTGTCATCGGTCCGTGCTTCTAATAATCCTCCTGACTGATGGTTAAAATAAAGTTTCAAACCACTGTGTGGAATGCAACTGCTTCTAGAGCGCATCCTATGGAATACACAGTCTAACCTTGTCAACCCATTAGCAGTTCCAAGCCTGGGAGACCAAGAAGCAATCTAGTTAACATTTGTTGCTTGTTTTCTTAGTGTACGTTGTATGCAGTTACAATCCGAATTGTTTTAAAGCAATTCTTTTTGCGAAAACGGAGGGACTTTCGGTATTGCTCCTTTCCAACACCGCACTCTCTAGGAGGGAATAGCCACGGCTAAGTGTGGAACCCGGATAGGGACAGTTGATTGCTTATACCTCTCTCCTTTATCCATCAAGCCTCAAGAACAGCTGGGCACCTAAGGCGTCTACACATCGGACGGGCTTGCAGTGATCCGAATGGCCGGGATAAACTCGGAAATAAATTGTGCTTCAATGCGAAGCTGCTTGTCTCAGTCGAAGTGCACGGCGGGTGCTCCAAAACTTCAGAATGAATTCCTAACCGCTGTGTCAAGCTTTGCTCACGGTCACATTGGCTCTGCGATCAAGGTGCCGTCCCTTAACTGCCACTTAGTATAATTGCTCCCGGTTCAATTTTACTTTACGATGCTTCCTGAAATATTTATCATATGGCCTTTATACAAACATTTACCATTTCAGTTGTGACACGATAATGGATTGCAGTTTGGCGGTTCGGAGAGCTGCTAACAAACTCATCCGATGTAGTAGGCCCGTAGATCTCTCGGGGTTCGGCTCATTAAACACGTTATGGATTGGTCCCAGAGTACAGTGTGCTAACTAATGGCGTGAGCGATGTGCTCCTCAACTTTACCAATAAGCAGGAAGCCAAGTGAATACGAGTGATATCTAACTTTTTCCAAATGAAGGATGAACTTAATACCAATTCTTAGTTTACAAAACGTCACACCATCATCTGGGGGTTGCAAGAGGCTGGCGCTGTCTACGCAGCCTTCTTGAGCGTTCAATTAGTCTGCATCCATTAATATTGCTAAATACTTTGCGCAACCTTGCACCGACACCAGAGCGCTGTATCGTCCAGGTTTAAATAACCCCTTGTTGTAGTCACACAGTTAACCCTTGTGTATCGGCATGATTCACTTGGATTCAGCTCGTATCACCTATCCCGCCAGCCACACTTGGCGTGAAATTCCAACCAAGAAGCGCTTGTCAGCCTTTCTCATGCGCTTTTCCAGGTATGAACAGAGCTTGATGAGCTAAATGACTAAACAACAAAAGCCATCACTTTTGAAGCCTTTGAAAAAGGACCACCCCTGACGAGCTGTAATATCGTCGTCGTCGATCGGTACTAGGTTCGTCGTTCCATGTTCTACATTTGTCTACAATAATCGATTTGGTCTAGTTCGGTGACGCGACCCACCAAGCTTCGCTCCTAGATAGTCCTAATCGACGCGTAGGTTAGACGGACAAACGGATTGCAGCATCCCCGAAAGGTTAGCTGCGATTAGCCGCACACACCCAAGTTCTGCTGACTAATTGACTGACGCACAACGACTTCCGATTGATTGACGCATACCCGCTAGTCCTGCACGCAAGAGAGAAAGAAGACAGACCTTTGCGAAGTGCTTGGTACGACTAAGCGAAGGCGAGTACAGACCAAGACGCTGCTTTGATTGTAGAGTGAATGACTCACTACGTGGAAGTGTGAGATTCAACAAGAACACCATTTCCGTACCCGCTACGCACGCCCTGAATCTACTGCGTTGAGGTGCAAAAACTTCGTCCCGCGCCGCGTTGCCTGGTGACGCGGGCGTTGCTGTCTAAATTTTACGTGATTGCTTGGTGCTCCTGCAACACAAGCACTTTATTTTGACACCAACATTCTTTCAACCCGATGATTCTGCCAAACCTGGTCACTTTGTTTTGCGCCGTAATTTCTATCCTCTTGATTATTCTGTATTCTTCCACCGATGGGCTTGTCACAGAGCTTGGCCCATTTCGATCGCGTATCTGAGGTCTTGTGTGAGGCGTGAAAATAGGTCGCACTGTAGTATCAAACATAGTTGAAATCTTAAATTGCCGAGATAGGTAGTGCCTTAAACCACCAACCAACCTCCAACCATTTCTAGAGTTAACATCCGCTTATCATCTTAGGGCTGTTGAATGTTAAGGGCTTACAAACTCTATCCCATATCTGCACTCGAAAGCACGAAACCTATTCTCGGACACAAACTAGGTGATGCGAAACCGGATGGCACACCCGCACAGCGCTTAGTCCTTTTGTCGCTCTTCTTTTCATACAGTGCCTCGGTCGAACTGATTGTTCGTTTCGGCACTCATCACATGCAGCTATCCGAACTTGGCATTTCTGTCCTTGAAAGATATTATCTGCAAGTTGTTGCAGCCGCTACATGATTTCACGTTATCAACTACTACTCAATGAGCAAAAACTGCAACGCAATCACAGATCAGGCATTGGAATCAAAATTTGGCAAACAACTGAACCTCACGCTTGTCCTCTTCATTTACAGCATATTTTGTCCACGGTTCTGGTTTCCTTCTGCTTACAAGAAGAAGACCTCTTCACCATATCGATGGTGAGTGAGGACGTGATGGTCGGATTTCAGCATGAGAATGTAAAGGTAAGGTGTTCATTTAAGCCGTAATGCCAAATTATACATTATGTCGGACGACTGACTGGTTTTCCACTTATTGTATTCCCTGAGTTCACCTGACTGGAGTTCGGTACTACTGTTCACCAATACTTGTGACAAATGCAAAAAAGGCGGTGCACTGCTCCAACACTCGGCCATACGATCTCTCGTTAGTAATCCTCCGAACAACGATTAAGTCCGCCATTGCAATCTGGTTTGTCTAACGTTACTTTGCACATTCTCCCTCGTGTACTGCAGCATTTGGGGCTAGCAGTACTATGATTCGTAACGGCTGCATGTGTTTTTCAGTCAAGTGCGTCACGGACTCATCTACCGCCGAATCATTTGAACTTTTCAGCATGTGTACCTACATGAACCGTGGTAGATGTAACCTGCATGATCGCTCAGTTTCACCGGAAGTGTATCATCAGTAATGTGCATGCTGTCACGTAATACCAGTGGTTTGTTTTCCTGTTTACGGTGTACGCCACATCACACCCAACAAACCACCGGTCGCATTGACCCACTGGTTCCCCTGGAAGATTACGCCACAATGCATTTTGTTCGCATTGCACACGTTGCCTATCTGGTCATCGGTGCACTTTCACAACGGGATTTGGTAACCGCTTGAGTGGGGTAAGACAACATTTACTGAAGCCTGCATATGTGGGTTGCTCACCGGAATCACCAAAAATGAGACTTAAACGTAACCATGGGAAGGTTTTGACTCTACTGTTCCGCTGCCATGCCACAAATCAGACGATCGCCTGCCTTTGGTAGAGCTTTTGCGTCACATGTGAATACCTCAGTCTGCTCACTGCTTCTCGTTGTCACTTTGACATCTTGGCGTTGCATGCGGTCGGGGCACAGCACTCCTTGACGTCTTTGATAGCAACCCACTGTACTAATAATAATCATATGTCAGCTGTACGCCGTAACGGCGCTCCGCTGCCGCACGACTACCGCCAGTCGCGCACGGGCTGAATATACCGCGAGGCCACCCACTCCTTCGCGGATTCGAACTGGTAACTTAAGGATTGCAAGTTAGGCGTGCAGACCACTCGGCCACCGACCCACTTTACAGTATGAACTGTATGTTGCCTTCCATTACTAATCTACTTGCATTCAGCGTCGCAGTCACCAAACTTCAGCTGCCTTTCCGATGGAATGTTCATGGTTGCAGCGGTAGCCGCACTAATTTCGCACAAGTACTCATTTTAATTCTGTTTAATCGATTTATTTCTTTTCCTACGCCATTAGTTTACTTAGCCACTGATCGGTTATGTACTCTACCTTGGTGTCGACACGCAGTGTGCCAATTTACCTATCGCTGTGATGGTGCAACTGTGGACTCCACCTTCGACTGAGCAGTACGGGCAGCTGGCACCGACTCTATAGGTTCTCACGCACGGGATCGAATGCCTCTCAATCTGAGCAGGAAGGTATGCCCTGATCCACATGTGGCTGCAGATTCGTGGGAATATAAGCCGTTGGTGAAGCGGTTTCAAAATCACGATGTCTCCACTTGAGGATGTGTATTTCTCGGCTGTGCGAGTTACAGTCCAACTACTTGGATAATTATTAGTGCACGTGGGGAAGAGTGAAGTGTACTCTGACTGAAAATCTCATCACGAAAGCACTTATGTAGAATGCCAATGGGGGACCAAATGAAATTTAAGGAACCATTGCAGCATTTATCCTCCAACCACTGGCGGCCTTACTAAATCCTAGAGTCAGGCAGCTTCCAGCGAATTGGCACACCAACTGAACCTCCTAATTACGAGGTTGTAGAGTGAACCAAACCAAACCAATGATATCGCTATCACTTTTTTAAGACTTGGGGTGCCAGCGCATCAGCTTCGTAGCTTAGTTTGTCCCTGAATGTAACGCTTGTTGTTATATAGCACGGCGACTGATGCGCGCTGAGTTAGCAACCCGTGGCAAAACACATTGATGACTTCGGTGATCCACTGGGGTACTAGGTCGTATCTCCCTACTTGTGGTGGCCTTATGTAATCACTTATTTAGTTGGTTACCACTAGGCCAGCGGCTCGAATCTTAACTGAGTTATCTTACATGCGAGCATTTTTCTTCACAAACTTTGCTATAGTAATAAAAAAAACATTTTGATAGCATAAACTGAAGTCAGCTGTTTCGTGTATTCGCTTCATCTGGATATCTTGGAGAACCGACTGTTTCAAAAGGTTTGATAAACGATCGGGTAGTGTATTTGCTATGCTGTACAACGTTCCGCTTTTGACTCAAAAGCTTCATCAGGCGAAGTGAATTGGCTTGAAGGCGAGTGGCACTTTAAAGCAATCACGTGCAAGGTACACACAGAGGTCGATAAACTTTCCGTTCATTGGTAAAACGTTACAGCATCAAAGGTTACTATGTTCGCATGAAATCCCTGGGTCACAATTGTGATCAAATGGGCACAAAAATGCTGGACAGATGGTAGTTAGAGACATGATCGGCAATCTGAAGCGAAACGTTGTACGGCATAACAAATACACTAACCGGTCGTTTGCCAAACCTTTTGAAATGATTCGCTTCAGCCGTCTACATTTTATTGGATGGGCAAATTGGATATATCGAAGACAATTAACGTGCGATGCTATCGGCACTTTTTCGGATTGTGGTTGAGCTATGTGACTTATGAGCTGCTGGGACAAATACATTAGCAATTTAAAGCGGTCAAAAGCCATTGCATTCACGTGACTCCGGTCAAAGGAGAACACGATCAAAAGCCTCGTTAGAGTAGGTTGAAGCTAGTCACGAGATCCGTCTGAAAAAACATGGTTTCAACCACCGAATCGCCTACGCTTCAGTGAACGAAGGTACCTATGTATTACTTTTTTAGTTATATATTGTAAGAAGAAACGTCAGCGGTACGCTTAAAGCGAACAATTGTTTTCGATTTATTCATCATCAGGCTTGGTACAGAAACATACGTTGAGGAGTTCATACGGGAAAACAGGGAGTAACTATTGATTGAACAAAAATTTTCAAATGCTTAACGTAACGTGTCATGTGGTCAAGTGACTGAAGGCATGTGACACCACTGAGTTAGGTCCGATCCATCTTTATTACTGGCTGGCCAGGGTAGTTGTAATGCTTGTACATGTTGCTTTCGAATGCATAGGTTTGGTTTTGTTAACCTGATGCATACTGCTTCCGCGGTTGATTAACTTCAACGTTCCACGTACATTTTAACACACAGAGCAGTCGGGTATGCAGCGGACAATCGAGCTAATGGGTAGTTCTGGACCATTTGCAGTCATGTTAGGCGGGACGTGCTCTTCAATTCCTGCTAACAGCCTTCTCTGATTTCACACATTGTATTTGCTACCGCAAATAAAGTAAAGTGGTAGGTGCATGAAGCAGTAACTTGTGATCCCGTTTGTTCAAGTCAGATTTGCACAGTAATATTGCCACTATCTCAGTCGCGAGTTAACTTCGCTAGAATTGGTTTCACAAAACGAAAGCGTCTGCATTTTGTGTCGCCAGACATGGTTTTATAATCCATTATAAGCTTTGATCACTTCACTGTTAGTCGAGGTGATAGATGGAACCCAATGATTCGTACTACTCTGAATCTCAACCTTCGTTGGCATCACCCTGCGTCGGCTTGCTGATCACCGATAAGGTGGAACTCGCCTCGATAACCACTTAAACAGTACTATACATCCAGATCATCCGACACGCACACCTTCCTTGACTTGGAGGCCAGCATGAGTTCGGATAATTGCGCTTGCTTTTGGCACCCTCTCTCTATGTGTAGTGTATCACACGATTATTTCTCGCTTTGTAACCTAATCCGTGTGGGGGACTACGGCTTGCTCTCTCCTGAGTCCTCAACAAGTGGAAACAAGCTTGTCTTATCCCCTATTTTCTCTCTGTGACTGAAACCCATTAGTGACTCCTTGCTGTCCGCTTCTTTTGGCGTGGAAGTTCACCGAGTGACCTGATAATCACACAAATGTTACGGTGCTTTCTATCTTGGACTCATTCACTGTATAAGCTCGCTTGGATAGGCTGACTCCAGGCGCGCACGTTTCAGCATGTGCTTTGCATCTACAAATTGCAAGGCACCACTGCGTGACTGGATTGACATCACCAGCGTTCACTAGTACGCAGTGCGCACTGGAGTTGGTTGCTCGGTTTAGCCATCCTGGTAGTCACACTGTTTCCGGAAGGTCACATCGTTCGTTCCTGGAGAAGTCACGCTGCTTTTCATAGCCTCATTCATCCGTGCATATGAAATAATGTTGGCTTATCGGTCAAGAGCAGAGAGTACTATGCAGCCACTGTTACAGTGTATTATCGTTTTTACTATCTTAACAGACTACCCTTCCTTGATCATAGGTGCTTGCGTGACCTGCCCGCAGTGGTAGGGCCACTTGGTGTGCAGTGCTAAATTGCGCCGGTTGAGTTTTGGCGACAAAGTTTCCAGCGTAGCACTGCCCCATCTTATACACTTTAACTACCTACGTTCTGGTCACGTTCTTTTTACACATAATGACTCTCTCCCTCAGCACATGTTTACGGACGCTTAGGTTGGTTAGGTAAAGACTCAGGGCAGCCAAGCGGTGAAATGACACTCATGCCGAAACGATTGGTATGCGCCGTCCTCCTAGATGGGATACGGCGCAGACAACATCAGTGATTAGCTATCCAGTCTGCTTGCTACTTGCTTCCTACCGGCAATCTTTTTCTCAGTTCATATTCTTTATATCCTATTGTATTCATATGCGCATATATCTTATTTATTTTCTTCTCCACTCCTATGGAATTATCCCTTAAACTTTTAGCAAACGGTACTTTTCATCATTGTGCGGTATTCGTCAATACTTTAGTGCTCCCTCTTCTATTACTGCCAATTTATAACATCCTCGATGCATTTTGCCAATAGGAAATACTTTTGTCGAAAGTATCCCCCGCGCACCAGGAACCAATTCGCAGGTCAAATGGGAATGACGAGATCATTCAACAATCCAGTGCTGTTCCTGTCTCCAATCCAGCAAGGAAACCTTGATAAATCAATGCTGAATTTTTGCGACGGACAATCAATCGGGCTGTGGTGGATATACTTCCCTTGAACTCTACCTGCGACCACAGAAATTGTGTAATCATTAAGCTACCATGTACGGTAGCGCCAAAGCAGGCATTTCCACGGAAGTAAAATTTTGACCTTAAATTGTGCTGACTTTCTTTGACACAGTGAAGTTTTGGTTGGGCTACTTTTTCTTTGCTAGCATTAACAAGCGACCTAGATTGGAATCTGATTCATTTGGGGGCTCTTTTGCACTCTTCAATTCAAGGTCTTCCACCTGGTGATCAACAGAATTTTTCCTTACTTCGTTCGAATTGGATCATGGCATATCAGTTCCCACTACCTGAAGAACACAGATTTCAAAGGGGTTGCCGATTCAAATATCAGCCCGATTATCTCTATTAGAACTATCGGGAATTAGACGGTATTCGTCGTGGAGCTTCATACCTTTTTCTGTGTGATTCTTCGATTTCACTGATTCGGACAACTAGTCATCTAACTCTTTGAAGTAGGGGCTTGTCTTCACGAGACCACCTAGCTTGAATAATTCTTTCGTGCGTATTGTCGTGTAACCTTCTGGGGATTAACACCGAATGTGGACAGCAATCACGAACCCGTTATTCACGGTCCACAGGACCATAGGTACAGTAGCTACATTTGATGCGCTGTGTTCCATTGTGGTAGCTTTCCCTGGCTATTTCTCGTCGCGTCTTATGCCATCTGGTCCACACGCGTTTTGGCTGTTATGCTCGGTGCACCCGCATGTGCCCTGTCCCTGGGTGTAGGAATCTGATCCGTACTATGCCGAGCCGATTCTATGTGGTCTGTCTGGTCCGTCCAAGTCTTCTAAACTCGCGTGGGCGGAACTTCATTCGCTCCCTATGCAGCCGTCCCACTTTGGCTACATTCACCCGAAATCCGAATTGCCACCACCTCGACTCGTTCTTATTTCTTTTCTGTTGAAGCAGCTTGATCATCTGTTTCGTAGATTTTTATATTGTATATAGTCTTACCGTCTTGGCCTAAGATGACAAGTGGCTGGCCTCGCTGGTCCTACTCATCTTCGTGCTGCAGGTTCGGTTCGCATTACCTTCGTCTAAACCGCACGCGGTTCCAACGGATGATGTCATTTTTGCTTCCAACTTCATGGTTCCTGACTCCCTTACTGCATACACTCACTCCCATCCCCAACGACTATTGTCTTCCGGTATCTGTTACACTCCTGCTTTGATCCACATTCACAATTCTTCTTTTGTCACAGTGCCCTATTACTACAATCATCTTGCAGAACAGCGTTCAACGTTATTCCGTTTTGCATTAGATCCGTAGCCTTAAGGATCCCAAGCCTGCGTTGTAATCCGAGAGCGCGGATTCGAGCTTGCGTAGGGAACACGGTGACCGTCGCAGCATCCTTAGTCCACGCGCGACGGTTGTTGATTGCACGGCAGCGAAGCGTCGGTCAAGGCCTCGGCGGCCGGTTCGAAATATATCGCTCCGCTCCCAGGCCAGTTTGTTCAGGTTTTCTGTGTCATATATCGTAATTTGTTGTCTTCAATTGTTTAATTCGGTATTATTTGTGATTCTGAATTATCCAGTAATTTATTTGAAACCTTTTTCGACAGTAATTCTCTCCTTCTAGTCTGTCTTGATTCTCCTCCGTCCTGGTCGTGTTTTTCTCGTGTCCTAGTCAGGCCAGTTTATCTCGTTCTTTTCATTGTTAAAGTCCTTTTATGCTCTAGTTGGCGTAATTCACTCACATTAGTTATTTGGAGTTAGTTCATCATAACTACCTGTACTAGTTTATCATAACTTCTGTGCTTCCTCATCACGCTGATTTACTCGTATCGATCGGTATCTATTTTTGAAATGGCAAAGCAGTCACCTTGTGGTATTTGCTCCAAAGTCGTTGGACATCGCGCAAATGCGCGATTACATGCAGTTTATGCAGCGTAAAGTTTCTTATTTCTTGCATTGGTCTGTCTGTGGATCAATTTCGAGCAATTCAAGGTATCCAGACGATTTTTTAAGGCCATTTGTAAACAATGTCATTCTAAACTTGGGCAGAATGGAGCTGAAATGTCTGACAAGCGGATCAATAGAGCGAAGTGCTCTAAAACACCCAGCCCAATTTGTCCTACACCACAGTCAGAGAAACAGCCAGCGCTTAGTACAACATCACATCCGTCCCTGAAGCAAAGTACTAGAGTTCCGGCAGGCTCGCCTTCAAGGCCTACGATTTCTTCAGTTGACACTATAACTAATTTGCAATAAGCAAATTGGTGATAACGAATGGAAAATGCAAATACCAAAGAAACCAGGAACAGTGTCTAGCGACGTGAGGCGCCGCAGCCTCATGGTCTTTCACACACCTGAATCATGTGATTCCAATCCTCAGGTGCGCTATGAACAGGATGTCCAATTTTTGCAATCTCTGACTGGTAGACTGCCCGACGTGGACGAGGGCGGGCTCAAAGTGAAACAGATCGCTCGTCTAGGAAAGAGAACCGAAGGCAAAAGTCGACCTATGAGGGTGACTTGTCGAACAAGCAAATCCTAAGTTACTATTGTCCCGTCTTAATAGGCTGAAAGGTCTGAAGATCCACTTGCGCGCTGACTTAGACCCAGCAGTCAGAGAGAAACTCAAGTCTGCGATGATTGAACTAAGGCGACGCACGGACGATGGAGAAACAAATCTCCGAAATACTGGTAGCTCGGGTTGATGAATCAATTGCTCATTTGTTCTCCGAGCTAGGCGGTTTTCTCGCAAACGTTTCACCACCATGCGAGGTGGCATCCTCAGTGCAGTGATATATAGCGTACAAGCTTACTAAATGAATTCTCCCTCCATGATCGACCTGCAAGTGACTTTGAACGAGGCAGTGTCGATTTAGGTCCCGTGACCTCTACCCACTTTCCCCAAGGCTAAAGTCGGCGCCCGAGTTGTTCTGCCTCAAACCGCATGGCAAAAGGTTCTTTATTTCTTTCTGTCGTAGTGGTCCACGCGCATGTTGAATCAACATGCGAGTGCACATCGATTCAATATACGAACCACTACGAGAGAAAGAAATAAAGAACCTTTTGCCATGCGGTTTGAGGCAGAACAACTCGGGCGCCGACTTCAGCCTCGGGGAAAGTGGGTAGAGGTCACGGGACCTAAATCGACACTGCCTCGTTCAAAGTCACTTACAGGTCGATCATGGAGGGAGAATTCATTTAGTAAGCTTGTACGCTATATATCACTGCACTGAGGATGCCACCTCGCATGGTGGTGAAACGTTTGCGAGAAAACCGCCTAGCTCGGAGAACAAATGAACAATTGAAACAAATCTCCGTACTGTAAATTTTCGGGTGGTTACCCTGATTCCTCCGCGAATCCGGATCAACTGGTTTCTGATGCTTCATGCGCACCCAACGGTTCTTACCGCGGTCTGCGCGTAGCCTTTACTAACATCTGCAGTTTGATGAACAAGCGCGATGTGCTGTACTACTTTGTAACCTCTCAGCGACCAGACGTATTAGGCCTTGCTGAGACTTGATTAAACTCCAACGTAACCTCCCAAGAAGTGGAAATCAGCGGCTACTCATGCTTCCGCTGTGATAGACCATCAAATGATCGCGGTGGTGTTCTACTTCACATAAAGTCTTCTTTTTTGGGAGACTAGTGAGCGCCTACCGAAGCGCTGATGGTCTATGTGAGCAGTTATGGTGTTTGATCCACCTCAGACGCTGCGAGATGCTCGTGGGCGTGGTATATCGCAGTCCACTGAGCCGCTGTTTGGACTGGTTGCCGCATGTTCACAACCACCTGAGTCGTCAGATGTTCGTACTAATGGGTGATTTCAACTTACCCCGAATACAGTGGCCTGAGGCTGAATTTCTCCCCGGCCATTGTAAAGTCGAGAGGAAGTTTATGGAGTTGATATTTGCAACCGGGGCCACAGCACATCAACTGCGCGCGCGACTCCATCGTGCTTAGACCTGCTTTTGACCAGCTGTGAACAATGTGTGCATGACATCCTAGTCTTAGAGCCTCTAGTAGCGAGTGACCACTCGATGATCATAGCCAGCTTGGAACTGCCGCTGCCATATTCTCCCCAGCTGGAGCCAGTCTTCAACTATTGGAAGGTGGACTTTAATGGCCTCATTCGAGCAGCGAGCCACCTAGACTGGTCTTTACCACAGGACTTGTCTATTGAAACCTGTTGGTCTATCATTAACGTGGGAGTGAAATTGTTGTGCGCCCGATTTGTACCCCTCAAGTATCAGAAAGTTGGGCCAGTCAAAACACATTGGTTCGAAAAGGAGTACAGCAAACTGGCCCGACGACGACTCAGGCTATGGAACAAATTCGTGTTATCTGGCTCTGATGAGGACTACAAGACGTACAAGGTACAGCGAAATCGCTACAACACTGCGAAGACAAAAAAACGCAGAAGCTTCGAAAAGCAGTTTGCAACCGCCGCAAAAACTGCTCCCAAGAGGATCTTCGCCTACGTGAAGCTGCGCCTGAGGCTTGCAGCCAATGTTCCAGTGTTAGAAGGCTCAGATGAACAGCCCCTAACCTCGAGTACAGATCGTGCGTCCGCCTTGGTGGCACACTTCGCCTCCGTATTTGCAAGTGACCAGGTGTCTGTAACGAGTTCGACGAGTACCGCTCACGCTGAACTAGACTGCAGTATTGAAGATACACGCAAGCTTCTAGCAAATCTTGACGGGACGAAGCCTGCTGGGCCAGATAGAATCCACCCACTGCTTCTCAAGTCCCTATCGGCCATCATCTCGCCTTCTGTAACTGAGCTGTTCCACAGATCACTATCCACTGGACTATTACCGGGCGACTGGAAATGCTCAGTCGTAAAGCCAATACCGAAAGGTGGTAACCCAAGTAAAGTGGATAACTACCGACCGATCTGCCTGACCGCTGTTTTGGCAAAGACGCTCGAGAAGATCGTGAAGAAGAGCCTTCTGCAGCTTCTAGAGTCGAAAAGCCTCTTGACTCCCGCACAGCATGGTTTCATGAAAGGTCGCTCGTGCATCACCAACCTACTGTTGACGAGGCACGAATGGTTACAAGCGCTGAACCAAGGCAAATCAGTCGACGTCAGTAAGGCTTTTGACAAGGTAAATCATGCAGTGCTCCTCGA